TGTGTGTGTGTGTGTGTGTGTGTGTGTGTATAGCTGCCTAAAATAAAATAAAACTTTTACTCACTTCCAGCATGTCGTCCAGGTCGCTGTGTAGATCGTGTAGGTCGATGTTTGGAAGTTATCAGTCAGATACACAGCCACAAAACAGAATATCGGTAAGAAATAAACTTTGCCTGGTTGATTTTGTTAAAAATATGTCATTTAATATTGAGGTTTCCTTGATAAAATTTAGTTTTCACATCCAATTAGTAAATGTTTTTAAACAAATTGTGGAATGTTCTTTCCAAAGCAGGATACTGAAGGAAAGGGAGCGGGGATGTTTTGGGGGAAGAAGATGGGAGAAGAGATGGTAGATGAAAGTGATATGGTCGGCCTTTCTCCTTTTAACACGTCATGATGTCCCATTGTCCTTGTGGGCCTAAGATAGCTTAGATGTCCTGGGCTATTTCAAGCATTTGTTTATATATGAGGAAGTCCTGAGTTGAAACATGACATAAATCCAGCAGAGCGTATTATTTGGTTTAGTTAAGCTTGGGTTTAAAAAACACAGTCTATTCCAGATATATCCAGCTTGGGTCTCTTTCAAGGCTGTTGAAGTAACTGGTTCTGGCCTCAGAGGTCTTCTGTAGTTCTGTCATATACTGGGAACACTGGCCCTTTCTTCCCCAACCCCATTGTGCCACTCTCTGGCCTTTGAATAAATCTAAGTGGTCATTGAGAAGTGGAAGCCAGGTGAGGTTCGAAGTTGGAGCGTATGTTTTTATGCAAGTGTAAGAGTTTTCCTTAAGTTTCCCTCAGCTTCTCTTGGTTCAGTCTTATGACTTTCTAGACCCTACTCAAAGGTATTTCTCAAACTATCTGAGCTCTGAGTTATAGAGGGTGGTATAGTGTACACGTTCATAAAACTAGGATTCAAAACACAGATCCAGGTTCAGTTTTCACCTCCAAGCTGTGTGATTGTAGCCAATTCCTTTCATCTCTGTGAACCTTACTTTTCACCTACAGCGTTGATGATAATGCGTCTTGAGTAGTCAGCTTCAGGTGAGATGTTCAGGGTCTGAAATCATCTTGGAAAGGAGCTATAAAAGCTAGAGAAGCTATGGATCTGACAGCACTCAACAGGCTGTGGTGCCCATCAGGAGGCTGCTTCCACCCTGTGCTTTCTCGAGATTTCTTCTGTGGTCTGCTCTCCTCCCAACATCATGGGTTAGAACAGGCATTTTCCTTGAGAGACACGTATCCAGGACATCATCACCTTTATGCAAGTGATCTGGTTCATAAAATGCTAACCTCTGGGCCTGGCGAGTTGGCTCAGTGGTTAAGAGCACTTGCTGCTCTTGTAGAGGACCCTGGTTCAGTTCCTAGCACCCACAGGGTGGTTCACAATCATCTCTAACTCTAGTTTCAAAGGATCTAGTGCCCTCTTCTGGCCTCCATGGACACCAGAAATGTACACACATATAGACTATGCACTCATACACATGAAATAAAAATAAATATATCTTTAAAAACAGAACTTACACACCTCTATTCTCCAGTGTATTTCTAGTTCTAGACAAACTGAGCATAGCTCTCAAATCCATAAACCATTTTCAGAAGGAAGGATGTTGTTAGAAAAAAAATGTTAAGTGGAAACTCAGTTCAACTCATTAAATGATTTTAATTAAAAATCTAGCCTATATACGTTGCTTTTTTTTCAGTTAGATGGGAGAAACTGAATAATGAATTTTGACTTTATTTAATGAAGCTATTTATGAATATGTGGCTTAAAAATCTCTCCCCTATTACCTTTCTTTTTGATGGCAACCTTTGAGTCTGAGAAATGGGCTACTTCACGGCCCCAGTGTCTGTCCTCTAAATGTGTATCTCCACCAGTATCTCCTTAGTGGCATCCACGCTGATGAGGACAATGACCGCATTAGAATTCTGCCCGGGGCTCCCAATTAACTTCCCAGAGTTCGGAATCCATCCCTTTCCAATTTACGGTTGACGTGATTGGGATGTCTAGGGCTCGGAGGAGCCAGCTCTGCTTTCTTTCCTTTTAAGTCTCTAGAAGATTACACATTTAGCTGGAGGAAGTCAGGCTCAGTGACCACAGAGGCCATGGCATATCCATAGTTACTGCTGTCCCTTCTACCATCCAGTCCCGTCAAGTCATGGAACTTTTAGGACAGAATACCTCAGAACACTTACGTAGTATGAGGCACAAAAAACATGGGTGGCAATCAGATGCATCTTCTAAATCATTAGTTTTAGTTTGGGCAGAGAAGGTGGTGATATGAGGGATGAAGTCCTTTGCAGTCATGTGAGGTCCTCTTGGCCATGCAGGCATATTGGCACATACTCTACCTGTCAGTCACATTGGCATGGAGATGTGTCTCTTCTTTGTGTTTAGTAGACTGCCCTCTTAAATATTTTAAGTTCCACATCCTTTGATAAGCTGGGAATTCTTAAAGAGATGGACTTTATTTCTTAGTCTCCATGAATCTGTAACCAAATTTCAGACATCCAAATGGCTCTCTGTAAGTATCATTTGAAATAAAAATTATGGGCAGCTACAGGCATAGAGTGGGGTGTGTCCACTCATACCGTTACACCAGCACATGAGGGGGTCCAAAAGCACCACCACTATGTTGAGTTTCTTCTTTAGGCTATTAACGGTTAAGAAATGGTGATTTATAGAGGCTCAAGGAAATTTCAGATGTGAGGGATGAATATGTTCACATTGGATAGGGATATTCTAGGACAATCTGATGAGAACTAGATTCCCTTCTAGGATACCCAGGAGGCCCCCACTTATCTCAAACTACTCCTTTGAGCCAACTGGAGAATCAAGATGTTATGGAGAAGCAAGAGAAGCTAAACGTCTTTCCTCCATTTTATCATCTGACAGAAAATACCAGTATATATAAATGATCTCATTTGAAGCTGTTTAGGAAATAAAAATTCTATTGTACAGACACTTGGCCTTAAAATTATCGGAATTGTTCTCCCCAAGTTAGTCTTGAGAATCCTGGCAGAGGGGAATACTAATGTCCCTGGTTTCAAGGAGAGGCACACTCAAATCCAGAATATGTCTATGGGTTTAGTCATACTAAGATTATCACGAAGCTATTCACTTCCCAGCTGCAACTTAGTGACAGCTTCATTAAAGAATCATGATTTTAGTGCCAAAGATACATAAGTTCTTTGGGGTTTTTAATTTCTGTGGTTGGGTTTACAAGATAACATGAAGTTAGCTAAAGGAACCCACGTTACATGAAAGAGATGCTAAGTCATTGGCTTTGCTCGTCCTGCTCTGGCCTGAGAGTGGCAGCAGCCAGATTTCCACTTCCTCCAAATTTTAACATTCTACAATGGGCTTTTAGAAGATCCTTCCCTTTGATGAGCAGAAGTTCAAATCATTAACAAATCAAGGTGTCAACAGGACACTGCACTTTAAAGGAACATTTCAAGGGACTTCAATGCCCTTTCATTCTTCAAATGAGAGCAACACAGACCTGTGTTTCTATGTATATTTAAATAGAAAGGTTTGTCAGGATTCTAGAAAATAGGTTAGATTTCAAAGCTTGCCACTTTAATAAGGAAAAAGTAATAACTCAGAACATTTGCTGTGCCTGCCTCCTTCCTCCCTTTCAGTTTCTTTCCAGAGTCATAATAGACGAAGTTAAAATATACACGTTTTTGGTGCACAGTGAGGTCATCCTCTCAATTAGGATAATAGAGCTATCTATCAACCCTAAAACTCTGTGTCTCTCGGAAACCGCCCCCCCCCCAAACAACCCTCCAGCATTTCCCTGAGCTTCATATACAGGGAACCACACAGTAGGTACCTTTTCCATTGGACTATTTGACTTAGAAAAAAAAAAGTTATTTTGTGGTCCATTCATGTTTCAGTATGTCAGCAGTTCACTCTTACTGTGGGCTCAGATTCCTTTGTGGGGGATGTACATCTGTGTTTATCTTTTTGCCTGTTGACTGATGTTCGGGTTATTTCTAGGTTTGGGTTTCTACAAATGAAGCTAGGATGTTCATGGTTGGGTCTTTGTATGCACATATGGTTTCATTTCTTTTGGGTAAACTCCTAGGACTGGAATGGTTGAATCATATGGTGAGTGTTCCAGTCTTTGTATGGAAATGATTCCCTGCCCCCATCTTGGGTAAATACCTAGGAGTGGAATGGTTGAGTCATATGATGTAGCTCTGACTTATTTTGTTTAACTGCTAAAATGTTTTCCGAAGTGGTTGTTGGCATTTTTGCCCCTTTACCAGAGGCAGGAGAAATTTCTGTTCCTGTACATTACTTCCAAACCCGGTAAAGTTAGCCCCTTGAATTTTTGCTTTTCTGATATTGTAATTATACCTCATTGTGGTTTTTAATTTGCATTTCCTTAAGTAACAAGTGGTGTCAATCATTTTACATGTCATCTTGCTATCTGGTACTTAAATATTTTGTTCATTTGTATGGTACACTGCTTGTTTCTTATTACAGGGTATTGAAAGTTCTTTTGAAAATGTATTTGGGGTATACGTAATTTTCTTGTATTTTATGATTCTGACAGTACTTTCTCCAGTCTTGGTAAGTTCCCTTTGTTCAATCAGCAGTGTCTTCAGAAGAGCAGAAGTTTTCAATTTGGTGAAATCTAATTTAATAACGGCTACTTTCATGGCTCATGCTTTTGGTATCTCATCTAAGAAATCTTTGCCCAAGGACACAGATATTTGTTCCCAAGATTTTGTCTAAGAGTTTCATAGTTTTGGGTTTTATAATTAGGTCTAAGATCCATTTTAATTTCATTTGACGGCTAGCTAGGTTTCTCTTCAGGAATTCCCTTCAGTTGGAAACAGTTGCCTCAAGATCACAGAGAGATTTCCAATGATGACTTGATGTAGGGCCTCTGACCTGTGGCTTGGACCATTCAGTAGAGATGGCCGACTTGCCGAGCTGCCCTTTGAGATGAGCTGGGACCCGACTGCCTTCCTTTTATCAGTCTCATCTCCTATCCGACCTCTGGGGCCAGATCTCTCTTTCCAGTTCAGTTTGTTGTGAGCCTAACGTAATAAAGTCACAAAATCAAAGTTATTGGTCAGCTAATGAAGGAGATTTTGTGAGAGATAATCCATAAGAAGAGCTAATATGCTGGCATTATGGGCAAGAGGGAAATCAGGAAGAGAAACTAACTCTCGACAGCTCTTTAGAGAAGTCTTTCTTAATCTTATAGTGAATAGTTTTGCAAACTTGAAGCAAGTAAGGTATTTCATTAAATAAGGCATAGTGATGTTCTTATATTTGATCTAAAACATTTTTCCACAAAAAGAACACAAATGTCACAAACTAGAGTTACCTGGAAAGAAGGACCCTCAATTGAGGAGTTGCCACCATCAGATTGGCCTGAGGTCGTGGCTGTGGTGTTTTCTTGAATAATGATTGATGGGAGGCCCAACTCACTGTCAGCAGAGTCATCCTGAGCAGGAGGTGGTCCTGTGTTATTTTAAGAAAAGTAGCAGAACAAGCCAGTAAACAGTGTTTCTCCGTGGTCTACGCTTGAGTTCCTGCTTCTAGATTCTTGCTTGTATGTGTTAATTCCCTGGCATCCTTCACTGAGAAACTGTGACTGGGACATGTAAGGCAGATAAACCTTCTCCTCCCCAAGTTGCTTCTGGTCAGGGTTTTATCACAACAACAGAAGGTGAAGAAGCATGGTGGGGAGTGCTCAACATGTATGTTATATCCATGTAGACCAGTAGTACCCTAATGTAATATACAACTGTGTACAATACATAGATACAATCAAAACTTCCAAAGAATTCTTTAAATCCCACAAGCAATGCATAAAACCAAACCTCCACTGCTAGAGAAACCTGGAGTAGATGAGTGTTATTTCCTCCCCAAATCTAGGAAGTGAGATGTCATTTGGAGTTTCTAGCCATTGCTCAGTCTTCTGCAGAGTTACCTGTACACTGAGTTCTTGTAATTTGAAAGTGGCTGGTTCATAGCATACCCTCCTGTCTGCAGCTCCAGCTCTGCCCCACACTCATCTCCCTTCATTGGGTCTAAATCCTGTAGATGTAATCAACCGTCTTATTAAATAAGAAACACAGAACTAATGCAAAGAAGAAAGCCAAGAGATCAGAGCTAAGAGCCTTACCCTGCAGCTAGCCTCTTCAGCCAAGAGACCTCTTGGAAAGAGACCTACTTCCTGTCTGTTTGTCTATATAGACTTTCTGTTTTGCCTTCTCATTGGTTGTAAACCCAAACACATGACTGTCTCATCACTGCCTGTATGTACAGCCCTCCAGGTTTTCTATGGTATTGAGATTAAAGGCGTGTGTCTCCAATGTTGGCTGTATCCTTGAACACACAGAGATCTACCTAGCTCTGCCTACCAAGTGCTGGGATTAAAGGTGTGCACCACAAATGCCCAGCTTTTTCTATGGCTCTAATAGCTCTGACCCCTGGGCAACTTTATTTATTAACATACAATTAAAATCACATTTCAGTACAAATAAAATACCACCATAATATCCTGTGGTCTGAATTCCATACAGAATCTACTTCTACAGCAACTTTCAATTAAGTAGTGCATGGAAAAGTAAGCATGATGATATCTTTGTAATTAGTAGCTTCATCTTTGATTAATGTTAATGTGAAGCAATATTGAAATGCCAATTTTCATTTAATTTGATTAGCATTAAAGTTCTGAAAGTTGTCAGTTCCAAATTATTGATGTATTTAATAATTTGTTTATCTAAATAATGTATTTCCTCATCACAAAACCCACCCAAAATCCTGGACAAAGGGGTTCAGAATAGCTCTAAAGGGCCCTCAGGGTGGATGCTTCAGCTGAGCACACACTTCCAGTGGCCACAGAAAAGAGGAAAGAAATTAATTGTACACAAGAAGTGTTTCTTCATTCACCAGACAGCATCACTTCTCCAGAGCACTGGACTGGTGAATGAGATCACCTGATCCAAAACTATTTCACAGGCTGAAGAAATGAGACCATGTGAGGAGCCTGGGAGACATTTCAGCTATGCTTTGATAGACAGCTATTTCAACTCCAAACAAAGATAGATTTTAGGAATGAAATCAAACCTGAGAAAAGAAATGATGTAGAGAGACAAAGGAAGGAAGGAAGGAAGGAAGGAAGGAAGGAAGGAAGGAAGGAAGGAAGGAAGGAAGGAAGGAAGGAAGGAAGGAAGGAAGGAAGGAAGGAAGGAAGGAAGGAAGGAAGGAAGGAAAGAGAAAAGCAAAAAGAAAAGCATTGGCTTTTTCATTAGCATCTAATGCTAATAAGTTCCGTTTAACTTCGGAATCGAGGCTGTGAAAAAGAGTCAGTTTAAAATGAAGTCCTTTGGACAAAGAACTAGAAAGGAAATGATTCTTCCTAGGCCTTTGGAGATGACCTATTTCATTTTTAATTTCTATGATAGAGTAAATGTATAAGAAACAGAAGGTCCTGTCTTCACAAAAATATGTTCTTTCTTTTTTTTTTTAAATGTCAACAGGCAAAGCAATTTAGAAAACATGTGTCTCTGGAACAGATTGTTTACACATAGAACGTTTTTGAGAATTCCCCCAGGACAGTTCAGTGGAGCAAAGGACCTTTATAAACGGAAGTAGTGAATTGTCTGTGAAATTGTTCCATCAGGTGCCCAGGCCATTTTTTTTTTTCATCATTTAGTTCCTTCAAATGACAAAAAGTTCCAAATTACTGGTGTTATTTGGAGGAAAGGACAGTAGTGTTGTGAATTACTGACATGTTGTTTTCTGTGAGGGTGGCAACGTTGAGACAGATAGATGAAAGAAGTAGAAGAGAAGTTAAATGTTGGCTTCTTAGAGACCCAGGGTCCCTCTATGTTAGCATTCTAGATAAGATCCAATCCTGTGTGTAACTTGCTCATCTTCTGAAGCAGGCTGACTAAGGGGGAAGTGTCTGGGAGACCACAGAATCAGTCAATCTGATTTTGAGAACACACTTCAGTTGCTGAAGAAAATTGAAAGTTGGTAAAGATCTTCTCAAGAGATGTCATCCTCCCAAACCATTAGAACTTTATCCAACCCTGCTCTCCTGACAGGGGTGAGTGGCCGGCCTTTGGTGAGGAGCTTTGCATCCTTGATGAGGCGTTGTGAGAGACTTGGTGAGCCCTGAGGTAGACAGTTTAAGGGCAACAGATTTCAAGGGAAGGCATAGACACAGGGTTGCCCACAGCCTCTGCAGGCAGATGGGAGCACATCAGCATAATTTATCTCGATAATTTAGTTAAATTGAAACTAGCTGCTAGTGGTAACAGCCAGGACCTCTTGATGATAGCGGAGATGTTTATGTTCCATCAGCTAGCAGAGAAAATTGTTTTTTAAGTATATTTAACAATTCTGATTAATGTGCTATGTTATCTGTCCTTGGTGAGGGCTAAGGAAATGAAAGGGTTCTCCAAGGCTGTCTAGTTGGTGGCTTCAAAGAGCTGACTTCTCCTCAAAGCTGTGCATGAATGAACACATAATGATGATGAGATAAGTCAGATTCTGAAAACTCCATATCTCATTAAAGAAGCACCTCATCACCTTCCACTGTTTCAATCCATCTAAGGAGCACTTAGAAGTATTCAAAATGAGTGATAGAAAAATTATTTGTGCTATTTATCGCAATATAATATCCTTAAATATGAAGTTTTATTATAAGGGGCTAGAGAGACGGCTTAATGGTTAAGTACAATTGCTGCCTTACAGAGGATCTGGTTGGGTTCCCAGCATCCACATCTGCTGGCTCCCTGCACCTCCAGCTCCAGAGCATCCAAGGAGAAATGATACCAAGAGTGAGCTCTTCTCACATCTCTCATCCTCATGGTACTGAAGTTCACTGTCTACATGTCTAGACTCCCATTCTCAGCCTTCACCATACTATGGGAAATCCCATTAGTTAATTTTCATCCTCTGGGATTTTGTTCTAGGCCTTGTAAACTAAATATGCTTGATAAATACCTAGATTATTCACCTGTGTATGTTACTGAATACCTGGATCGCTTGTACTCTTCAGTTAGAAAAAAACAAACAAAAACAAACAAACGAACAAACTTGATTGAGTCATAACTTCATACAAAGGGAAGTTAAACTGTAAGACAATCTGAAAACATTCTTGGGATTAAAACACTAAAGGAATTAAGTCCTGTTTGGTGTTTGTTGCTCAGTTGGTTTTACTTGCCTTAAATGCTGTGACTCTGTAGCAATCTTCTTCCTGTAGGAGCCAGACCTACTCATGAAAGTCTTGCATTAGGTCCCTGGGGACCATGACCTGGATCCCACTGGGTCTCCTCTTCTGTGGAGAGCAGGTTGGTTTCCACGTGATTGTCCTTTCCAGTCAAAAGGACTGGAGAAAATCTGGAGAAAGTTATCCACAGTAATTTTCCTTGTTAAAGTGCAACATGTCCTTTGAGACTTAAAAGGTCCAAGTGGCAGAACTGGCTTATGATTCAAAGCAAACGAAGGGAGCAAACCGTGTGGAGCATGCCAGTGACTTCAAACCACTCGGGTTCTTAGCCAGAGTGCTGTGACGTCATCGCTGCTGTCTGCCTGAATCACAACCACCTTTTTTTTTTTTTCCAAATCATTCTTCAGTCATTCCCAGGAGAATTTACTTTAATAAATTTATACTTAAATAATATAAAATTTAAGCTTAGAACATCTCTGTGTCAAGTGGAAATTTTGGCATACACGCATTATCAAAGATGGTGAATTCTGCTACACACCCTCTCAGCAAAACAGAAACGTCTATATTCTTGTCCCCAAACAGCATGTGACATCATTTGTTCTCTGTGAGAATGTCCTTCTTTGTTGCTTTTGTTTGGATTCATGAGTTTAGGACATCTCTAGAAAACTGTGATCTGGAGACTAGATGTCTATTTCACAGCTATGACTAATTCCAATTTCTACATTAGTTTCTAAGCTCGCCACCAGCCAGCAGAAACAAACTGTAAAGCTGTTCATGAGTTCAAACTCTTCCAGTTTAAATTTCCTAATAATCAACTTCAAATCTTAAAAGTTTAGTTTAAATACCTGATTCATTTTATTTAAATCTAATGTAGCCAAAGTCAGTCCTGCCATTTCAACACATAATCAGTATAAAGAATATTAACAAGATACATTATATTCTCATGTAATGGGCTAAGTTACCGGACCCTGGAGTGTATTTTGCATTTACAACATCTCCCAGGTCAAACTGAGCAGTTTCAGGAACTGAAGAGTTGCGTGTGGTTAGGGGCATCTATTGAGAAGCCGTGGCTAGTGTCAGGTCACATCTCCCTTCGGCAGGCACCTTCTGGCTTGTCTAAAACTTCGGAGATGTTTCCCCGGGTCTGTTTTCTTCTTCTGTGCACAATTTATGGGAAAGTTCTGGATTTTATCACTGAACTGTGTTCAACAAGATCTGAAACAGACTGAGAGAATGGTGCCCCCTCTTTAAAGCCTTCCTGGCCATGCCACACACTGTTGGCAGCAGAAGGGACTGAAGACGGGTTTAAACTCATTTCTATGAATTGCCTGTCTAGACTCCTCTATCATTTACATTTTGGCTTTCTTCTTGGTATATTTTTAAAGTCATATCGTTTACTTGTTTGAGCCTCTGGCTACATTTCAAACAGTTACTTTCCCCAAAATTGTACCTGGTAGTCTTCCAAAATTGCTTTTAAATGAAATTCTTAAATCGTAGCAATAAACAATACAGAAAATGTACTTAAACACTTAAATAATGCCACAGTTCATCAAAAACACATAAGAAATTTCAACTCTTATTCCTTGCCTTATAAAAACCCATGTTTTTGCTACATTATAAACATGTTTTTCATGTAATTATTTATGTAACTCTAGTAATGCAATTTAGTGACTATAAGAACAGAACTGATTCTTTTAAAAAATCTAGATTTATTTATTTTATGTGTATGAGTGGTTTCTGTGCATGTATGTATGTGCATCATTTGTGTGTCTGGTGCCTGCAGAGGTAAGAAGAGGATGTCAGATTCCCTGAACTAAAATTACAGATGGTTGTAAGCTACCATGTGGGTGCTAGGGACTGAATACTAGTTCTCCACAAGAACAGCAAGCATTTCCCCAGCCCCAAACAAATTCTTTAAAAACATAAAAATATTTACCATTGCCTTTCCCTGTAGACTGTGTTCATTTATGCTTACATTTCAGTATTTGCTGTATCACAATTTTAAAAGTCACATCCAAAGGATATAGAAAACTCCAGACAATTTGGCATAATTGTTTATTTTCCACTTGTGAAGTGCCCTTCATTTGTTGATGTTGCCTAGAAGATAATCTGCTCTGCAAAGCACATCATAGTTCCACTTCAAACAGGCAACATGCCATATATGAAAAATGATTAACTGAGCTACAAGTATGAAACGTTGGAAAAGGAATAGCTGGTTACAATTTATTTTATATGACAATGTAGGCAATTGGGAGCCATCAGCAGTTTGAGTGCAGTTTCAGCTGCAATTGGGATAGCAGGAATCTGGTGGAGTTCTTCAGTGTGGCGGTAAAATACACACACACTTGTGCCAGCACATGTGAAGGGATCTAACTTGACCTTGGTTTTGTTCTCAGCAAACTGACCCGGCCTGCTCAGCGTAGCTTTTATCATCCCTGACGTTAATGCGTGCTATCTTTTATTTATATATAAAATAAATACATGAAAATAAATACATAAAATTATATATATAATATTATATATTATATATAATGTATTATATATTATATATATTATGTATTATATATAATGTATTATATATATATAATGTATATAATACATGACCACAGAAGACATCAATCTGACAGACATGACATCAGGACCCTCACAGGCACCCTAGGTTTCTTCCTTTCTCTCTTTATGTGATTCTAAAAATCGACTCTGATTCCACTGTAGCTTCAGCAGGTTCTAGCCAGTTCCTCAGGGACCTCAGCCACCACAGCCATCATAGCCATGTGCCCCCTTATGACATAGCCCTCCTTATTCAGGTCTGTCCTGCATCTGCCTACCCCAGTGGGTTCCAGAGCACTGGGTGGAAATTCCTCTTGGTGGTTTTTTTTTTCTTTTTAAGATACAACTGGAAATAATTAGCAGTGATATAAAATAATTGCCAGAATCACCAAACAGAAAAAAACGTTTCCAACACTGAAAAAGTAATGTCACTAAGATTCCATCATTGTCTTAATGTTTTAAAAGGTGCCAAAGAGCCTGATGCAAAAAAAACAAAAAAACAAAAAACCCCAAAACAAAACAACAACAAAAACCCTTCAAGACAGAATTAACTTTGTCTTACTTTCCTAAACAAATGTATTGAAACTTTGTTCTTTGTGATACTGCCAAGTCATGAAGTATCAATTATTACAAGTGTAACTGTCCAAAAAAGAAACAAAGTTCTAATTGGGTCCATTGAACTCTTTGACACATCAAAGCTAGGATCTCATTAATTAAACAGCAATGGGGGCAGGGTGTTAAAGCTTCTTTGACAAATCATATTTCTTCCTCTCCTTGTGCATACATTTCTCTCTCACAGGATGGCTTTCCCCAAGTAGTCTTTGCACAATTTCCTGAGAAACCTTGTTCCTTTGGCCCTGGCCCGCTGTTCACTGACTCTTTTCTACCATCCCTTCCTCACCTTGGAAGACCCAAAGAACATGTCAAAGAAAAAAATGAAGAAGATGGGCGGAGACTCCACCCGGTGATGGAGAAGAGACAGGCTTTGTCTTCCCCGGCTACAGTTCTAAATACTTGCTCTCACACTGTGCGTTCTCCTTGCCATCCAGGGAGAGTTAGATCACACAGGTCCATGGTGCCAAGATCACCACTTTCTTTGAGTCTTCTGGTCCTTACAATGACCTCCCAGCCTCTCCTGGAGTTGTGAGCTCCCAGAAGCCACACCATCGAAACATAAACTTCAGAGCTTTCATTACGAACAGTAACCATCTTGCTCACCACTGCGGGTTATCATGGACGTCCCGGCCTGGAGTTATTTCCTCTGTTTCCATAGATGAGCAAATGGGAATTCAAAACAATCAATTACTCACTTCAAGTCACACAAATTAGTGACACTCATTTCAAATACCTCTCATTAGTCACATTTATCCATGATATCAACAGGTTCCTTCTTGTTATAATGATGAGGAAATGGGTTATTGAAGATTGTCGGGTGTTCCAATGGTTCTTTAGGAGAGTCAGGGAATCCAGCCTGGAGATCGTGGCCATTACTCTGCAGTCTAATGACAAGTCCATGACTGTTGCCACTAGGCAGGGACATAGCATTGCTTGTCACTTGGCCTGAGTATAGAATATACCCCCAATGCTGATGCCACTGCAGCCTCTGGAAGCAGTGTGGCCCTGCCTACTTGGCCACATTCTAGTCTGCTTGATACCTTTTCTCACCTTTCCCATCCACACTGGAGTCCCAAGATGATGTGTCTGACAAGGTGGAGTCCAAGACACCCCGCTACACCTTGCTGCAAAGGCAAGTTGAGAGGCCATAACTTTAGAGACTCTAGAATTAGCGAGATGAGAAACTCTCCAAAAACATGGAGAGCCCAAAGACAGCAGAGCAGCAGGGCAGAAGGCCGCACTGAGCTCAAGGTGAATGGGCACTGGAGCCTCATTTCTCGAGTGAGAAGACTGAGCCTCCCTGAGAAGAAACAGTTGTGTGAGCTGTACTTCCTGTTAGTATTCTGCCTGCCTCTTAGGAGTAGTTGACTGGGAGACTTTAAAAGAAGTGGAAATTTACAGGAAAAAAAAAAGGAGCTTTTGAGCCTGTCCTCTGCCTGGCTTATCAGTCTGGAATGTACTATGGAAATTGTTGCCGGGCTTTTATCTGATACAAAAGGGTACATAACCCATTTCTCCTTCTGATCTTGGTTAAAAAGAGAGAGAGGGAGAAAGAAAGAGAGTCTGTGCAGATGCCAGGCTTGGGGGGAAAACTTTCTCATTATACACCAAGTTCAACTAAGGATTTTCTTGCTGTGTTTGGGGAACAGCATCGTTGGAATATGGATGTTCTTATCAGGATAGTTCACTTTTTGGAACTTTTTTTAATGTTTATATATTTATAATCTGAACATCACTGGCAGAAAAGCATTTGTCACCACTCTGAACACTGTCAGTATACAGAATAAGAGATGATTTATATAACAAAACTAACTGGGAAATTACAGTCGTTTTGGGAACACAGTTGTATCACCTCACCTACATAGTGACCTGACAGTTGTCCTTCAGATAGCCATGTCTATCTCCTCAAATAGTGATATTTGGTAGGGGAATTAATTGCTATTTAATATGCCCAAGTACTTAAAAATCTAAACTTTTGTGTGCTGTGTGAAAAAAAAAGATTCTGTCCCTCAAATATCTTAACCATTCTAAGCAAAGCAAATGATGTGTTTTGGGTAATTTTAATTAGAGAAATCAAATCCTCTTTTCCCCCGGGCAAGAAGACTATTATGGGCTTTTTTAAATCTTTCATAGTTTATATTGTGCTGCATCTTTTTTCTCCTTGATTATCATAACAATCTTTTGAAATGGGTACAGAAGAGTTGGGTTTATTTTAAAACAGACTTCTCATGATGTGTGTTTCATGGGCTGGTGCTATAAGACTATTGTCATTTTCTTCTTGAATTATGTTAAAGTCCGTACGGATTTCACCATTGAGATTAGCTTAGAATTGACTAGCTCATCAGTGTTAATCGTACCTCTCACTGTTGCAAGTTTCCTGAAATTTCTCATCATTTAAAGTTGAAACTCCAGAGCCGGGCAGTGGTGGCGCACACCTTTAATCCCAGCACTTGGGAGGCAGAGGCAGGTGGATCTCTGTGATTCTGAGGCCAGCCTGGTCTACAGAGTGAGTTCCAGGACAGCCAGGGCTACACAGAGAAACCCTGTGTCAAAAGCTGAAATTCTACACTCATTTAATAGGCTTCTGTTTGACTCTGTGTTTTTTGCATTTTAAGGAAATAAAAACAGTTTTCAGTAACAAGAAAGCCTTGCTTTGTTACCCCCTTTCTCATTGTGAAGAATGCATATCCTCACTAGAAAAATCTTCAGCCTGTGGGCAGCAAGGTTGACATGGATGATTGAGAAGTTTTAGTTTTAAAAATTAAGCTTGGTTTAGAAGGGGTGCTGTTTACTGAACAGGCAGAGAAAATTATTTTCTTCTTTTAAGTTTGGGCCATTTCCTGCAGAGGAAATGATTATTTGTTTACTCACCTGCATAACTTACAATGGAGGAAGCAAGATCATATTGACATGTTTGTCCAGAATTGTGTTTTATTTTATATAAAAATTCAGAGTGTATTTTATATAATATTCCTTCTAAACAAAGGATTTATAATCAATTTTGACATTGTGGATGGACCTCATCCTAAAGTTATTTACAAAACTGTACATACCTGTGATTCAAGTGTGTGGACCTTGAGATTCATCAAGTACTTAGAGAAGTTTGGGAGGTTCACAAATCAAACTGGCAGAGCCCTGTGTTAGAGCACAGAAGAGACCTTGAAATAGAACTAATATAACACAATGTGAATCCAGGTGTCCTTGCAGTCAGACCCCGTCTGTAGTATATAAAGCGTGGAAGGCATGAACTTTTCATGATCTCTCCTGCTTTTGGTCTAGGTCATGTTAGTTGAGATCAAACTTGAGCATCCTAGGGCAGGCTGTGATGGTCTCTTACTGATTTATTTTTTTTATATATAACTTTTTAAAAGTTTTCTTTTAAATTTTTTTGAGATTATAATCATATTTCTCCTTCCTCTTTCTTCCCTCCAAAACTTCCCATATTACCCTCTCTGATCATCTTCAAATTTATGGTCTCTTCTTTCATTGGTTTTTATTACATGTATAGATGTGTCTGCATATACATATATGTTCTTAAATATAACCCCTGCTCCATCCACCTAATGTTATTTGTATGTATGTCTTCAAGGTGGGCGGTTTGATATTGGATAGCCAGTTGATGTGCTCTTCCCTGGAGAAGCCCCGAAGTACAGAATGATAGATTATGAATCGCTATAAAAAGTGTTAAACTAAAGTTAGTACAACCAAAGCTCAGAATTTTTATATCGACACAACTTCTAAAGTAACAACTCTGGTGTGAGCATCAACCATGTCTGACTTGTTAACCTCCCAAGTGCTCAATAAGGATCTTTAAACTGAATTGGTTTTTGAACAGAATTGAAATAAGTGTGAGCATGGTAAGAATTCGGTATAGGCCATTGTACTGGCTTGTTTTGTGTGTCAGCTGGACACAAGCTAGAGTCATCAGAGAGGAAAAAGCCTCAGCTGAGGAAATGCCTCCATGAGATCCAGCTGTAAGGCATTTTCTCAATTAAGGATTGATTGGGGAGGCTCTAGCCTATGATGGGTTGTGCCACCCTTAGACGGGTGGTCCTGGATTCTCTAAGAAGGCAAACTGAGCAACCGTAAGAAGCAGGCCAGTAAACAGTTCCCTTCCACGGCCTCAGCATCATCTCCTGCCTCTGGGATCCTGCCCTGTTTGAATTCCTGTCCTGACTTCTTTCAGTGATGAACAACCATGCTGAAGTATAAGCCCAATAAACCCTTTCCTCCCCAACTTGCTTATTGGTCATAGTGTTTCATCACAACGATAGAAACTCTGAGACAGCCATTATTTAAACGTTACTTATGAAGCTCCCAAATGGCATCAGCTTCCACGACAACAATCTTCTTTTAAAGCATGAGCCCATGGTTCCCTTGTTGCGTCGCTCTCCTCTATTGCTGATGCTGTCGACTGGAAACAGTCAGATCTGACGCAGAAGAAAAGGCTAACCCTTGGAAATGGGTTTGGCTTGGTTTGTGAGAAGCCAGGTATCCCACACTCTCTGTCACACAGACAGCTTGGTGGATGGTACAGATCCACTTGAAACTGGTCCAGGAGCCTAAGGAACCATAATTCTGGAAAAACTACCTACCAAAGCATGCATTTCATAATCTACACCCATCAGATAAATGGGGAGGGGAGGGTGCCACATGTATGTTTCATAAAGCAGTGAGAGTGTTTCCCTCAACATAATTAGGGTGAGTTCTCACGGGGTTGCAAATTTTCATTTTTCTCCCCAAGAAAGCATATCAACATACAGCAGTTCCCATCCATCATACCTTAATTTTGTTAAAGATGAAAGATGTTGTTCACAGAAGAGAGGAGAGAAGAGAAAGATTATAATCACTGACTAAAAGCCCCTCTGCGACAGGGAAGAGCTCAGGCTTCCTGGACAAGCCTTTGCTTTGCTCCTGTCCTTTAGTTGCTGACATCTGATGCTGTTATCACAAGTCCAGCCCCCAGGCTGGCTTCAGAGACACAGGAGTGGAATTCAATCCTTCTGAGCTGAGGCTCCCCCTGCACCCCCCATTGTTTTTTGTTTGTTTGTTTGTTTGTTTGTTTTCGAGACAGGGTTTCTCTGTGTAGCTTTGAGCCTTTCCTGGAACTCACTCTGTAGCCCAGGCTGGCCTCGAACTCACCAAGATCCGCCTGCCTCTGCCTCCCGAGTGCTGGGATTAAAGGCGTGCGCCACCACCGCCTGGCGAGACTTCCCCTTTTGTCTGGCTCTTTCCATGTCTGTCCTCTTCCCTGGGTTCCTTACCCCTGCTCTTTTCCAGGAAAGCCATTTATTTTCTCTGCACCTGTCCTTCAGGCTCTCTAGGCCTTTGGCTCCTTACTAGGTGGGGAGATAGTCAGGCTATGTGTGCCCCTGTCTTAACACAGGGGCAGAGGCTGTAGCTTTCTGTCTAGATTTATCTGTTGTGCTCCCCGCCTCCTTCCTCAGCCACCCTTTACAGGTCAAGAGAAGGCTGGGGCTGCCCGCGAATCTGGAACTTGCCTCCACTGTCTATGGAGGACTTCCGCGATGCCCACACCTTTAAACAGGTCCTTCGATTCCTTTACTCCAGTCACTCCTTTGGGACAGCTGATTGCCAGGACACACTTTCTGAACTGAAAGATGGAAATTCAGACAGACAAAAGTCAAGTGACACAATCAAGTCAGAGAGAGAACACGACCTCCTGGGTGAGGAGTAGAGTGCTCCCTAGACAGTGCTCTCCTACCTGTTTCCCCCAGCGCCTCCTGCTCAGTCATGTTGACAGATGGATGTTCCATGCAGCCTCCACATTTGAACTTTAATATCTTATTGGGTGGTTAGAAGGCAGCCCCAACATAGATGAATGCTGTTTCACTGGAGACGGTGATGAAATTTCCACTGTGAGTGAATTCCCATCATAAAAAGGGAGAGAGAAAGAATGATTACGTGTCTGTAATTCAGGGCTCAGGAATGAGGGCAAGTTATGAAGGAGATGGCAGCAGAGACAGACGTGAACCTGCAGGGAATCTGAGCAGCCAGCAGGTAGGAGAAGACATAAAAGCCCATTGGTGTCTACCAAGCAGAGAGAAAAAGAACAGACAGTATCAATGAGGAGATGAGATGCCAGACAGAAAGCTCAACCACTGCAAACTTTGCTGAAAGAATTTCTAATATGGAAGGAAGTGACTGTATCTCTGAGCAGGAGGGAGCCCTGCTGGGCACTTGGCATGTTAGAAGTCTCAGATTTTAGAGACTGTCTCTAAAACCAACCTGTTTCAAAACGCTCTTCTATAAAAGTAGATTTTTATGGCCACTTTCCTTTTAGCAATTTTTCTTGTAAATGAATGTCCATGCATATAATGGCTGCACTAGCTAGCTTAATTCCATAACAGAATTTTTCACCACTGTCATTTGAGCAAAGAACTGCACTTGTGAGAATTCTCTTTTAATTTTTTTTTTTAATCAGCTAGAAGACTTTGGAACCAAACTGTTCTCCTTAAGTTGGTTTAATGAAATTATTACTATTTATTGAATGTGTCATCTGTTGAAGTGTTTACCTACTCTATTTGGTTAAAGCTTTGTCTTTATAACAGCCCTCCCGTCACCTCACCCCACAGCCATAGCCTTTCCCTCTGCAACCCCATCTCATCCCGGGCCCTGGCAAGCAGAATTTCCTGGGGCTGTGAACGCCGCTGGTGTCACGGGCAGGATACACGGGAAGTATTGCTAAAAGAAGCCATTGTCAACCCCCAGCATGAAGGACAGCTTGCTCTGGTACAACCATCTTCTGTGAGCTGCTGGGCCTCTGATCAATCAACAGTTGTTTATTTGGCTTCAGTTAAGGCCTCGGCAAAGTCCTGGGTGACCTCTGCACACACCACCCAGACTAGGAGTAGAACATCAATTGCATCCATTAGCGACCTTGAACCAGCTCTCAAGGTTTGAAGAAGTTTAATGGCCAACACAGATAAGTCATCTAGTCATCTGAGGACATAGATATAAAGCTAGTTAGAACCAGTGATGATACAGAGAAAGTACTGTGATCGGTTAAGAGAGAGAGAGAGAGAGAGAGAGAGAGAGAGAGAGAAATTTTCCTCTAGACTCAGATGAGAAACTTGTACAACCGAAAACAAGCCTATGTTTATGTTTTGTATGTTTGTTCCATTAATAAACTATCAATCCAAATGCATGCTCATGTGTATAATAGTTTGGCACTTTACTGTAATCAAAGAATATGTCTGATGATTAAAATTATTTACTTGTATTTTAGTTTGATCATTTTAACTACATGTCTTTAGATTGATTTGACATTTATATAGAAATATTTAAAACCTAAAATTAAATATTATAAATAGGAGTTATTGAGTTATTGGAATTTATCCATTGAGAAATCACAGTCCTATTTATTATCACTTGTATTTTTGCATTGTGGGGTCATGCGGTCGTCTCTTTTTTCATTGTCCTTTCCATGCTTGTTTAGAATGCACATTGATCACATTCATCCCCTCTGCTACCCTTTCTTATTCTCCCTCCAGCCTCCCTTTCTCCTTTCACACCCCAATGTCCCTCGACTCTCCCCTCCTTCCTCCACACATGAGAGAAATGTGCCACACTTGAGATCAACAATGTGACCCAACATAATGATCTTCTGCTCCATCCATTTTCCTATTGATAGCATAGTTTCATTCTTCTGCATGGCTAATTAAAATTCCACTGTGTACATATGCTACATTTTTTTTATTCGTTCATTCATTGATGAGTATCTAAGCCGATTCCATAGCTTGGTTGTTGTGAAAGTTGTTGCAATAAACATGGATGTGCAGATATCTCCGTGGTATGCTAACTTGGACTCTTTGGGTATATACACAAGAGTGGTATAGGTGGATGATATGGTAGTTCTAGTCTTGTTTTCTTGAGGGCCCTCTATGCTGACTTTCACAGTGTCTGGGCTAATTCACATTCCTACCAGCAGTGTGTAAGTATTCCCTTTTATTTCATTCTTATCAAAGTTTTTTGTTTTAATGAAACAAATTGATAATTATCACAATCCACCTATCAATTCTTTAGCCATTGAGAATGTTCAATTTTATAAGTAGTACAGAGTTATTTTGTGTACGAGGGCTTAAACTCATGATTTAAGTCCTGTCTCTGATTTTCTGCCTTCCTATCCTACAAAATGGACAATAATGGACTGCATTTTACCTTTTCAGGGCTTCTGAAACTCAGGGTGCCCCTCCAGGCAAAGCTCATAACTTCATGTTTTGCTCATTCTTAACTTTATTTTTAAGTTTTATTTTTTTCATTTGTTTAATGGATTTTTCTTCTTATTGAGAAGCACTTTGTATAAGTTTTTTTCTTGTAAGACAGTGAGGAGAGCACTCGGTATGCTTAAGAAAGTGTAGAAGGGTATAGCCTGTGCCTGGTACAGGTGCAGGATACAAACTGTGTTTTAGAGTTTGCTAAGATTCTGCTGCATCCTGGAATACAGGACAGGTTCCTAAAATTGTCTGTCCAAAAGTCCTTGGTAGTTCAGTCTTCAATAGCAGTCAGTTCTGCTTGGTTTTGACTTTGTGGAACTTCCGTCTTACTCATGTGGTTACATTTCTTGTTTGGAGAAGTTTGGGGTGCTTGGAGAAAAAGGACTAAGAAATGGATTAGCTAATGTTGACACAGATTTTGAAACTTTTCCCCTAGGATTGAACTTCAGTCAGGAGGGTTCTTCCTGGTGATAGTAGTCTAGAACAGGTTTCACAGTTTTGTGGATTCATCGGACTTCTTGGTAATCTCCCTTTTTGCCTAAAATGCTGGATGGTGTGTGTTTATCTCTATGTATAAATATCCAAGAACTTGGTTTGGGGGGAACATTTGAACCCATTAAAAACATCGTTGTTACATATATATGTACGTACATTTATTAATACATCTGACTGGAGATCACTTAGTGTTGCTTGTATGTGTTTAGGGCTAATTTCTTGAGACTGGTGGACCTTTCAGGGGGTCTTGTCCCTGAAGAAGACTGATTGTCCCTCTCATAGCAGCCATCTACTGCCTTTAGCTCTTCTGTGAATGAAATTCTTTGAGAATCCCTCATCCACTGTGGCATGCCAATAGGTGGTGTCATTTTTTAAGGTTTTGTTTAGGCAACCACATTGTGGCAATTTTGGTACAGCTTTCCTGTCATTTACCCAGTTTTCTGGCTCTTTCAATCTTTCTGTCTGTCTCTTCCATGGTGTTTCCTGAGACGTAGGTGTGAGGATTGTCTTGTAGAATGTATTCATTGGGACTGGGCACCACACAGTTAGTTAGTCTCTGTATTTTGACAAGTCATGAACCCATTCTTGAAATGACTAAATTACCCTGGTCTAGGATGGACAATTGGCTCACGTGGCCTGTACCACCACTGTTCTAGCCTAAGATGTTCACCCCCAGCAGGCAAGTGTTGGAGGGAGCTATGCAGCTGTGTATGACAGATGTGGATCTAGAAGCAAGAGTTGTTGTATCCCGGAAGCATTTTGTTGTCTTTTATCCTGCGGTGGTCCACTCATTTCACTAGGCCAGTGGCACAGCCCCAAGATTCATCCAGACAAACAGAATGAAGGTTTTATTTTAAATGGCTGGTTCCATTCACCACCAGATGGCACTATAGTATTACCAGGAAATGACCACGCACACATTAAACTGATAGGAGTCATAAATGGGAGGGAAAAAACAAAGCCGCTATCTTTAGAGTACGTAGGACCACACTTGTAAGGCTGATCAGAAACAGTCGTCCAGCTGGAGCATCCGCAAGAAAATGACACATATCCAGGGAAGTCAGAATGCTTGCTCCTGTCTGGGCCTTCCTGTTCTAAGTTTTCAAATTAACCTGAAATAGTGATTGCTACATTAGCCAAAGAATGCTTAGGACATTCTCAAGGTTTAGAGTCCAGTCCATAACTAATTCTATACCGACTCTCTACTCATCCCATAGATCATAGAAAGTAACTGTAGAGGAATTTTGAGAGGTTTGTGTCTGGTGGTTCGGGTCTTTTTGGCTAGGCTATGTGTGGGAAGAGTAAGCTCATTCTATAAACCATGGCTGTCTTTGCTTGTGTCTCGGAACAGACAGGAAAAAAAATGACCTTCCTGAAAGATGAGTGTTCAACACATAGCATGTAGGTGACATTTCCTATCAGAATGTGAAACCTTGATCCTACCCTCTTGAAGAACAAAAGTTGCAAATTAACCAAATTCGAGCATAGGCAGTTTTATTCTCACGTTCGGAGGTTGTTCCTTGTTCCTTATTTTCTGCCTTCCCTTGGGACTGATTTTTTTTTTTAAATAACAATCTGCTGTTTTGTTAGTAGTAAGAAAAGAAGATTGGTATGAGTCTATGAATGAAACTTGTTTTTAGTTCAGAAAATTGTTCAAAAAGTTCTCAGGAAATATTTCCTACCAAAAACCCAAACCAAAAACCTTGATTCTTGTTTTGAAGGAAGACTTACCAGTCAATGGACAGATGGCAGCGTTTACATTGGAACAACTGGAGCACTTGGAGATTTGCCTGAAGGAAGCAGAAGAAAAGGCTAAAGTTCTATTGGAACAGGTAATACCTGTCACGGGGACTGGAAAGATCTGCCGCTTAGGCTGTGGGAGAGCAAGGGTGAAGGCTTTAGCCTCTGTCCCATTGACCCAACTCAAGTGCATATACATGAACACACACAAACACATACACATGTACACACACACACACACACACACACACACACACACACACACACACACGCTTCCTTTGTTTTCAGCCTAACAACGCTTTCTTTAATCTACAGAGAGCTTTTCAGACTCTAAAGCACCCCCCCCCTTTTTTTCACATTTGTATTTTATTTGGTTTTCATTCACTACAAGCCCCTCTGGGAGTTGGGCGCGGGCCTTCCTTAAGTAAGTGGTTTTTCCCTGAATAAGCAATGTGTATTTGCATTACAAATAGATAAACTCAGAGGTAAATGAAAACCTAGCAGAACCATACAGATTTTTCGTGAATCATTCCAAGGAAGTTTGCTCTGAAAAGATGACTTCAGATAATGGCTTCTCTTCGGGTTTTCTGGAATTAAGCAAACAGGTCATCCGTGGTGCTTGGCCTACACTAATTGAACATTTTATAGCAGGTGTTCCCTGTACACAGCTAGGCCTTGATATGGATGTAGCTATCAGAAATTCTCAGTCCAGGGTCAGTACCATTTGCTAATAATACCACCTTTTGGAAAAAAAAAATACAGTGCAATGTTTGTTGTTGTGGACTTACAATGCAAATCTTCCCAGAGCTAGGTCTCCCCACATGGCACAAGGCCACCAATACACACCTTTAATGACAGAGAGGGCAGAGAAAAGGACAGGAGACCTGGAATGTCAGAAATCTGTATTAATTTCTCATGGGTTGATGGAGTTAGACAGACTTGGGGAGATGTTATTTCATGAGACCTTTAGGTTAACACAGGTACTTATACATCTGAATCTTACAGGAAAGTTTTTATAGGCCAATAGGAAAAGGGACGTGTGCGTTATGAGAAGAACTATAATTGGCATGCAATGGAACCAATCAGTAGCCTTCGTTTTCTTTTCAGCCTACAAAACAAACGTTATTTGGGGGCTGCTCTTGTGTAGTGACTAAATGTGATCGACGCTGTAGTTTTTATAGGACTTTTGTCAATCAGTGAAACTGTGGTGGCTTTTGGGAAAGTATCCATCACAGATCCATGCCTTGTCAACTGTTGTTTCCCTAAAATAAACCTCAAACAATAGCAAGATCATGAATTATACAGAAAATGATGATGGACATGAAAGACTATTTCTAACTGTTCCCCAAGGAAGACCAGAATTTCAGAGATGTTTTGAATGAGTAACTAAAGGAGAATTCCCTGCATTAAGATGTATGTTTATTTTACAATCAAATGCTTTTTATGATCCATTCTCTCCCTCTGTTCTATGAGACAAGTTGTTGCTATAATGCTCAAGTGGCCTCAAACTCATTATAGATCCCAGGCTGACCACAAGTTCAAGGCAATCCTCCAGTCTCAGTCTCCTGAATCCTGGGATTAAAAGTGTGTCTCAACACACTCAGCTTTGATTATTTTAATAAAATAAGCAAGATTTGATTTATTCATAAAATTTGTTTTTTTTATAAAATATTTTTTATCTGATACAAATGACTTCTAATATTTGAGTTCTTAACTGGAAGACTCCCTTTGTATAACACCAAAAACTGAGCTGTAGTTTTTTGGCATTTAGGAAATTAAGTATCTAAAACGGACATGACTCCATCTAAATTATTTGTTTCTGCATAGTAAGAGGCTAGTGAGCTACTTGGGGAAGAAAAGTGTACAAGCCTGGTTCCCAAGTAGCTCACAGAAAGTAGAATCACTGGACAGGTAGAGAGGGGAAGTGGGTCTTCTTATGACTCCAAGTGTGATGCATGATAACATTAAGTTTTACTATCTGAACAGAGTTCTTGACATTTTAGACTTGTATGACAAAGTGAATTTAGCTAGAAGCTGGCAACAGTGTGAGGAAAGGAAAGAATGGTGTGTAAAACACATTACAGGGATTTGCAATATTACATTTTTAATTAAGTTGAGCAGTTTATTACATTTGGCTGCCTCTACCACTGCTGTTGAAACAAATCAATCAAATATAAACATGGCTCTCAAAGGGTTTAACCCTGAGATTTTTGGCTTTTTGCTCTAACTTTATCTTTGAAAAGGTAAAGAGCTGTACTTAGCTGAATCTAGTAATAATTAGTTGAAGTCAGAATTTAGTTTGGGATGACTTTTAGGTACTGTAACTTCTTGGTTAGTGGTGGGATCCTGTGTCCATTTCCCTCTTCAGTGTTGGGGCCCCATCAGGCTTGAACCTGAGCAGGTCTTACATTTGCTGCCAAAGTCTCTGTGAGTTCATATGTGCATCAGTTCTGTTGAATAGTTGGCCAAAAGGGTACCGTAAGCCCTCCTCACCAAAAATGCCATCACAGGCTATTGCCAAAGGCTACTGTAGGCTGCCCTCAACAACTTGATGATGAGGTCCTGTTGCTGAAAATAACCCTGGCAGTTCTTGAGTGTGTGTAAACACAAGCCAATGACACCAGGAAGAGTTTTCTCTACCCTGCAACATTGGATAAGAAGAATTTCTCTTGATTCCTTAGCTGGGGGTTCTAAGGAACCTTGAGGGCTTGTTAGCCTGATTGGCAGGCCCTTCCTCCTCAGAAATGATCTACTAGATATGGTATAGGACTTAATAATTTACATTTCTGTCAAGATCCCATCTAGTTTCAACACCGTTGCTAATCCAGAACTCAAAGGGATTTTTTCCACTGTTACCCTGTGCTTCACAGCTGTGTGGAGTGACAGCGTCACTTAGGATTTGGTTTGAGTGCACTAAAGAGACAACTGAGTAAAGGTAGATGCTGGCTTTTCCTCACACGCAGTAAGTGTGGTGGTGGCAGGCACCTGGAGGCCTGAGCTTTGTCTCTTTCGCATTCACAAACAAGGTGTCGGTCCTCAGGGACCAAGAGGCCCTGACGCTCTGCTGTCTACCCACATGTCAGGCATCAATGGGAGAAGAGGCAAATACAAGGCAGGGATGGGCTTTCTGGAGACTTCCATTAATCCTCATGTATTATATTTGCATTAGAGGTGAGAAAAACAGGTAATTAGCTGGATGCAATGTCACCGTCACAAGCATTTGGATTCCTTCCTTAAGAAAGGGAAAATGGATATCTAGTAAGATCAGCAATCTCTGCCTCCATATTCAACCCATTGACCATGCTGGCTCACACAGAGCTTTGTCCAGGTGAACTCCACATTCTTCTGGAGACGCAGTGTTCCCGGTACCTGCTGTTGACGAGGGAACTGTTTTACCATGGACTCATCTTTACATCTTTGACAGAAAGACTAGTTGTCCTGGATGTGTCGGTTAATCTCTGAACTCAAAACGCTGTCCCTTGGGCTCTCCCTGTGTGACATTCCGCAGGCACTGCTCTCTGCAAGTCCTAGTTATCAAATTGTTCTGGGAAGATGTTTATGCTCTTGGGGCACTTCATACAGAAGAGACACACTTGGGATATGCTACGACAGCTCACAGAACAGACACATTTGGGATAGGCTCTGATAGCTCAGACTAAGACAAGTGAAGTTTTCTGTTTACTGTTTTGGTGCACGTACCTGACATAATAACTCTACTATAAAGATATGCTAGCCACTGGGTACCTTTTAAGCATAGAAAAGGTGCAGGGAATATAACCAGAAGAAATATTGTCCTGGGAACTCTGTATGCCAGTGTTCAGGGAAATGTTAGCAAAATGGAGAGCTGTGTCTCAAGCCAGCAGAGAGCGACACGAACTGAACTCTAGAATTCAAGAGGTACCAAGAGGTAGGCACGGATTCTCCGCAATCTTTAGTTCAAAGAAAGAAAATATCGTGTGTGTTTCCTTAGAGTGAATAAGAAAGATGAAAGTCGTCTAAAAAGAGGCAAAATGGGAAAGGAAAAAGAATCCGGTGTCTCCTCTGCTACCTCTATATTCCTTCTTCTGTGAACTCACCCAGACTTTTTTTTTTGCAAGATCCCAATGTGGACTCTGGGAGCTTTGAAAGTTGTTGAAGTTAGATCACGACAAATTGAGGTAGCTAGTTCTGCATGTCCACTTGCTTCAGGCTTTCTGTCCGTTGTTCTGCAGAGCACTCCACTTCAAATATTTACTGAGCACTGTGCTGAGAAGTGGAGACACAGCATTGAACAGACTGGCAAATTTCCCTCACTTGAAGAAGACATACATGGGGGAGGACACAGGACTGTCACACGGGCGCTGTCACACAGGCACTGAAAACACAGCTTCCAGTGGTCTTGGTAGTTTGCTGGGCCACACTAAAGAAAGCCTGAGGAGGCAGTGCCGGGTCTTCATTCTGCCTGGGAAGCCTGAGATTAGCCAGTGGGCTCTTGCCCTTGACAAAATGGAGATTGCAGTCCCTTCACACTCTGTCTCTCACTCTCTCCATGTGTCTGTCTGTGTGTCTGTCTATGTGTGTGTGTGTGCGTCTGTCTGTCTGTCTGTCTGTCTGTCTGTGGTGTGTGTGTGTGTGTGTGTGTGTGTGTGTGTGTTATTCTTGTGTTAGAATGTAAACAATGGGAGCTGAGGCTAAGTCACCATCTTAGGTTACTGTTGGGGCCTCAGGTTTTGTCTTCAACATGAGGTTTCCAAAGCAAAGCAGATGGGACATTTATTTCAGGACTCCTTCGGCCGAAGTGTGCACTAAACAGGGAAACAGAGCTCAGGTGCCAGCTGGTGGGGGGAAGGAGGTAGATCACTGTAGCAGAATAGGGAGGGTTCTTCATTTTGCTTTCTCTTGGGAGTTTATCAACTTGGCTGGTAGTTAGCCTTGATTCTCCGGGCATTTGTATGTGTGTAGTTATTGAGATTCGACGAGAAAGAAACAGAAACCCAAAGGATTGGCATGCCATGTTTGACTCAAATAACCAAGAAGGAATTAAGCATTTCACATCAATGGCTCTAAGTATCTTCCATATTTTCCTTGTCTCACACCTTAGTGTCAGATTTATATTTTCTTTCAGGGATAGAAGGAAGGCTGATCTCTAGCAAAATTTTAGACAGTGAGATGTGTATTGAATGGCTAAAAATATTTTGATGTGTGCTGGATTGCTTCCAAATAAAATAGTCCAAGTCCATCTTTACTGTTCAGCTGCAACAGTAGATCCCCTGGTGCAAGCTTATTTGAAATAAGCAATGCCAGCGTGGTAGGAGTATTCATTCTGGAAATGCTCAGAAGTCATGCTCTACATGCCAGTATGAAAGCAGGAGGTTTTATGAATGACTGTCTGTTTTCTGATCTGGTTTGAAGTCTACTTTAATGTCACAAAAGCACATGCAGTCAGTTTGGTTTGGAATGAGTTTCTTTGCCTCTAGGAAGTCTTGTTATGTGGAGCCTCGTTGGGTAAGTCTGGGCTAATCAAAGTCCTGATTGATTTTAGAGCCAGACTTCCCTCTTTAATTATAGAATCTAGCCCCTTCCTCTCTAGGTAGATGCTAAACTTCTCTCTGTGACTGTGTTGTTGGGTATAAATTGGACAATGTACGGGCAAAAATTCAAGTCCCTGCAGAGATTTTTTGTTTTGAATGGAATCAGGCACAACCACAGACTGGCTTCTGTTGTCGCAGGCTGGCTGAGTGGACTGTGAGCCTGTTACATAACTGAAGACTTCCTTTTGCTTGTAAATGTCAAGATCAAACTGAGGTCAGTTTTAAATAGCTGACTGGGTGCTAATTAATGCGATTTTCCTATACAAGGGAAAGCAGAAAGCCTTATCCCCACAGAGTCATAGCTTTGTTGATAAGATCAGGTATCATTTGGTATAGGTTTTACCTATATTTTCTTTCTAATGTTTCCTCTGTGAAGGCAAACTCTCTTTTCTTAGTGTTTGCAAGTAGAATAGGAAGTTAATATCTTTTTCTGCTATAACAAGATCCCTGGGGGGGGTGGATGTTTTATACAGTGAAAGGGGTTTTTTCGGTCTGTACTTTCAGATGATCAGACGCATGGTATCATATGTTTTAACCCTGGCCAGAGACTCATGGTGGATCCCATCACAATGGGGGAGAACTCTTGAGAGAGTAATGAGTGATGTTTACATAAGACAGATTCAGAGCAAATGCCTTGGTTGCTTATAACAACATTCTGGCAGGAATTCTCCACTCCTGTAGGACCCAAGCACTTGTGTGAGGCAGGGTTAATCCTATCCTGTCAGGAGATGTAGCTCCCATACCCCAACTTCATGCCACCAGACCCCACTCCTTAACAGTCTCCTTCCTGAGCACCCACTCTGGGGTCTGAGCTCCCAGCACATGGATCTGTCAGGGTCAAACCATACCTAAGCCATAACACTTAAATCTGTGATTTTGTTCACTTATTGATTCTTCCAGGGAATATTTATTGGCCCTGTGAGTTAGCATTTTTCTAAGAATCCCCATGTAATAGCCCATGCAATTGTCCACACAGTCCTACATAGCTCTATGCTGTTTTACTGTTGGAAGTCTCTCCGTGAACGTGCAGGCCCTCTTGTCTGCTCTTCTCCACCTTCCCTTGGTGACCTGGCTTCAGGGCACACACTGCTGAGAAAGTTGAAGTCTTCGTTGTCCCAGATTTTCTTCCTGTCCCTAAACACAGAACCTTTTAGACAGCTCCACCCAGGCTGCCAGAGTCGACTCAAGTACCGCCTCCCCAGTACATCAGCTTCTTAGTATAGACATATTCCTTGTTCCACATGCCCTAGTGAGAAGTGCTGCTACACACCTCATGGCTAAAATGAGAACGCTGTGGTCCTCTCATCAGTTCCACTTCCTTCCCCTACACATCCAGTCAAGGGCTATGAATGACCCTTTCCCCGGAAGACATGAGCAAACACCTTCTCATCCCCAATAGGGCACCAACAGAAAACTCAAAGAGTACCTTGGTGAGTCAATGAATGAGGGGTACTTACAGAAGCACAGGCAACTTATAGTGGCTACGCCACCGATGAAAACAAAACAAACTCCCATCTCTTCAGGGACTTGAATTTCTGCCCTTACAATGTCCAATTTATACCCAACGACCCAGTACCAAAATGAAGGTTAATATCTGGTAGAAGGAAGGTTGTCAGGTTTTATAACTAGAGGCGGCTTTGTAAGCCCACCCACCCACAGCAAATGACCGTTAACTGTCCATCAACCTTTCAGAAGGAATGGAGCCCCTCTTCCAGCATGAAAGACGGTTAATGCTCCCAACCTTGTTCAGGTCTTCTGTGGATAATCATAGCCACCGACAGTTGAAAGGGGCAGTTGGCCATATTAAATGGGGGTGGGGTGGGGTGGAGTCAGCTGGTTCACATTCTTATAAGTCATGCCTTCCATATAGTCTTTGGATCTATCTTTCTTCTGCTTCCACCACCATTTCCCTTTTCAGGCCACACTGTGTGGCAGGAACTCCTGACTTGTGTTTAGTGACTTACCAGTATTACAGCTGGAATAAAACCTTTCAACTCTTACCCCATATTTCTCCCCAACTTAAAATCCCAACATAGCACCTCTCTGCTGTCCAAGTCAACTCTATTCCTTAACATACCTCACATTTGTTTCCCCAAGTTTGCCTTACACTCCTCCCTGCAAGCTATGATTGGCATTTTCACTTCTTTTCCTCTGGTCTTAGTTTTTCAGTGCATGACTGTCTTGCCTGCATGGATGTAAGTGTAGCATATGTGCCTGGTGCCCACAGAAATCAGAAGAGAATATCAGATCTCCTAGAACTAAAGGTATAGATGTTTCTGGACTACTATGTGGTTGCTGGTAACCAAACCTGGGTCCTCTGCCTAAGTAGCAAGTGCTCAGAGCTGTGGAATTACATCATTTACAGTTTCTTCAATGTACAAACTGTTCTCTTTATCTGAGGGAAAAAAAGAGCATGTTCCTCAGAATCAAATTTTAATACTGTCTTGTAGACAAATTTCTATACAGTCTCATTAAATAAGAAACACAGAGCCAAATATAGGGGTGAAAACTGTAGAGATCAGAGTGCTAGTGATAGCCACCAAACTAACCTTAGCTCACCACCACGCTGCCGTAGCTTCCCAAGAGAGCCTCTTCCTGTCTAACCTGAACCTTTATTGCCTTCCTGTTCTGCCTTCTCACTGGCTCTAAGCCCAGCCACATTACTTCCTTATCACTGTCTGTCTATACAGACCCCCAGGTCTCTATGGTTGGTACTGGGATTAAAGGTGTGTGTCACCATGCTTGGCTGTGGCCTTGAACACACAAAGACTCTGCCTGCCATGTGATTGGATTAAGGGCATGTATTACCACCACCTGACTTCTGTTTATGGATGGCTATGACCTCTGATCTCCAGGCAAACTTTATCTATTAACATACAAATAAAATATCACTTTTCAGCACAAATAAAATATCACCACACTGTCTTTCCCTTTGGCACTGTTTGGAAGATCTCTGCTCTGCTCATATGATCTTTTCTCACATTTTCTCCTGATCCAAAAAGCCTCAAGAAACCCTTCCTTTCCAGATCTCTCTGATACCATTTCCTCTCAAGTAAGAACAGGAGATTGCATTGGGCAACCCTGACTTTTTTTTTCCATCACAAGAGTTGGTGTTGATATGCAGGCAATGGGGACTGATGGGAAGGTGTATTTGTATTTGTATTCAAGAGCTGAAACTAAAGGTTCCTGAGAAGGACAGGATAATGTGTGAATACTTGTGAAAGTCTAGTTTTAAAATGGTTAAGGGTCTAAGATGGTGATAAAGAGAAGAAATTGGAGACAAGAAATACTTATCAGTTGTGATTAGCGATAGATGAACTAGGATTCAAGACTGGTCTGACGGCAGATGGCTACGATTCGATGTTATCTGTCTTATATGTGAATTTTTACACTCTGAAGGTTGTGTTTTTTCCCAGGAAGCCTCCATGGAGGCTTATTACCATTCATGCTATGAACTATCTGTCCATCAGTGCTTGTTGCCTGGCTTACTTAGATATTAGGAATTTCAGCCTTTGAAGTTACATGGTAGCCTTTAACCCATTCTTAGAAATAGTGTTTTCTTATACTCATGTTCAGGCCTCAGAGTTTCAGGGAGAAAATTGTGGATGACTGTGTGTTTTCTGTATAAAGATCCCATTTACTAACCATGGGACAGTATAATGTTTACATCTGGGATTATACAAATGCCAATCATTTGATGTTATTTAAGTGGATGCACAGTGATGAACAGTTGTCTGGGCTAGGCTTTTCCAAATGAGCTTCCAAGGACTCTAGATGTGGCTGTCTTCAAATGTAGAGCTATTTGTCTAGCATTATCGGTTAGCTATTGACTTAATACTGCCATCTTCTTATGAGTAGACACAAGTGTCCTGTGCCTACACAACATTTTGAAGTGCATCTGAAAGCCTGGCTGACTTCTACAAAGAGAGATATTATGATTTGGAAAATAGAAAACAATACCATTTGTTTAACATTGTTTTTTGTTGGTGGTAATGCTGATTTTTTTGTTTTGTTCATTCATTTTTGAGTGAGAACCTCACTGTGACCTAGTCCTGGATGGCTGGGAACTCAACTATGTAGACCAGGTTGGTCTTGAACTTGTGGTGAGCCTCCTGCCTCTGAGAAATGAGATTAGAGGTATAAGCCACCATGCCCAGCTGTAAAAGCTTTTTTTTTAAAATTAAAATGTTATTATGTTAGCATACGTGGAGTTTATTATTTTTAAATGAACTGATGGAAATGCCTTTAAAAGTATTTTTACTCTTAATATAGTAAACACCAATAGATAGAACCAATATAATGAAAGTTCCTTATGGTCCTCAATATTTACTTAGAATATTAAAAGTTCCCAGATTTTTAAAAAGAAATTTAAATTTATTTTAAGTTGAACTATGATTACACTATTTCCCATACTTCTTTTGCTCCCACAGCCCTTTCCATGACCATTCCCTCAATCTCTCCCATGTGCACCCACCCCTCAGTCCCTCTATATTTATGACCTCTTTTTTGACTATTATTGCTACACACTACACACACACACACACACACACACACACACACACACACACACACATAAACACAACTTGGTGAGCTCATTTTTGTTACTTGTTTTATGTATATGATTTCAGGGCTGACCTCTTGGTATTAGGTAACAGGTTAAGGGGCTCACCCTTGGAGAAGACGAACTCTTTTTCATCCGTACCTACTTGCCTGTAGTACTTTCTCTAGAGGTGAGGCCCTGTGAGATTTCCCCCTTTCAGGTTAAGTACCTATTGATGGTGCCACTGTAATGTTTCTGTCTGTTGCAAAGAGAAGCTTCTTTGAAGAGAGGTGAGAACTACACTTAGCTGTGGGCATAAGGATAAGTTTTGGAATGTAATTAGGAATATGCTGGTCTAGTAGAGGAACAGTAATAGGTTCTTTTCTAAGATCCACGTATGACCTCACCAGCTCCAGGGAGTTGTCTTGGTGTACAAAACAAAACAAAAAAAGATCCTCAGGATAAAACATTTTAAAGCTGCTAGTTTAGGGACTCTGTAGCATATGATTGAAGGACATGTCTTGTTTGAGAACATGACCAGTGACTTTAAATAAAATGCAAAGCAAATTCAAATAGGTTTTATTGATATACCAAATAATTCTAATCAGGACCTTAAAGAAGGGATTGAATCCCCTCCATTGCTGTTGAACATGGGCTCCTGATTACCATATCATAGGACAAGAAACATTCCCTCAATTTGGAAGAGACTCAATGAGATGAAAACATTCCTATTCATTGTGCATAGACCACACATCCTAAAAGAACCGCCCACACCGGGAAACTATGCTTTCCCAAGCTGCTCTCCTTCCCACCAGTGTTTATGCATCGACGTCTCCCAGAGGCTGTTTTGTCCTTCCCCTTCAGAGAATTCTCTTCTCCCACTGCCTGCCCTCAGCTTCTTAGGCATATTTTCACAACCCTGGCCCACTCAGATACGCCCTGAGTTGATACTGCACTGTTGAAACTGATGGAAGCATTTTCAATTCAGAGATGAACTGTGCCCCTTTCAGAATTGTGTGAGAGAAGAGGAGGTCAGGGCCTTGCTGATTTGGCTCAAGATGGCTGCCAGAGTCTTGGTTTCAGTGGTGGTAGAGGAGGTTGTTCGGGGACAATTATCTCCATGGAGTGTTCCTTAATTTGGTGCACACCTGAAGAGTCAGGGTGCTTGTTGGGAAGGACTGACTTCAGAATGTCGTGCATGGGTGCCAATGATGAAAAATCCTCAGAGATCACACAGAACACGAGATGAACGCACAACAGAAAACCCTTGCCTGGTCGTGGCTAAGGCAGAAATACTGATCAGGTCTGGACTTTCATTTCAGGTCCTGGGACTCCTGTCTGCAACATACTGTCTGTCTCCCATGCCATCCCATTTAGGATATCTTACCATTGCTTCAGGGACTTTGCTATTCGTGTCTGTGCTATTTATGTCTGGTGTCCAATAACGAAAACCAGCCCCCCCCCCAGACTGTCCTTTTACTACTGGGTCCCCCTTAAGCATGTACTATACCTGGCTTTTCTTGGTAATAAAAAGGGCTGTGTCGTCCTAAGACTATGTGTGCCAAGTCTTTCCCCCCTCATTCTCCATCTTTTATTGGTCGACCCTGATTGATCTCTTTTCCTTAGGATTCCCACAGACTCCGAGGAAGCAGTGAGTTGAATTTTGAGTCTGTTCCAGTGGAAGCAGCTGCTCCCTGCTTTAAAGCTCATCCAGGACCAGGACAGTTGCCTTCTTCATTCAAAGAGGGTCATTCTGCATTTCTTCCCCTCGGGGGATTTCTCTGAAATTATGTAACTTTTATTTAAATCCCTCAAGTTGACTAACAGGGACTTTAGAACAAGGACTAATCCTGTGGCAGGGTAGAAAGGAACCTCAAAGATAGCAAAATACATTTCTCCCAATCTGGAGAGCAGGGAGCCCAGTCCATGAGCCCTGTCAGCAGAGAATGCCTGCTGCTTGATGCTCCATGAAATTGCTTTGAGAATGTGGCAGCTTAGGGAGACTCTCTGTGTCCAAGCAATGGGCTCTTGGTCCCTGCATTGAATCTGCAATCAGTTCATTTGTAGTGTGTAGGCCTGGGGGCAAGAGGTTTCTGAGTTATGACCAGG